AAACTTATTATATTATATTTTTTTTAATTAAGAAACGTTCTAACGTTTCTTTTACTTTTTTTTTGTAGGTTCCGGTACTCCAAGATTCCGAAACGTCAACATATAAGTTTCGTTAACGAAACTTAAAATATTTTATTTTCTTTTTAATTAAGAAACATTCTCTAACGTTTCTTCTACTTTTTTTGTAGGTTCCGATGCTCCAGGATTCTGAAACGGAAAAATGTAAGTTTCGTTTCATCAACGAAACTTATCTTTTTTGTTTTTTTTAATTAAAAAACGTTCTAACGTTTCTTTTACTTTTTCATTTCTTATAGGTCTCCAATTCGGGTATCATTGGAAAGTGAAAATGGTAAGTTTCGCAACAAAACTTACCGTGTTTTTTTTTATTATTATTAGAAACATTTTTTAATGTTTCTTTTCTATTTTTTTTTTGTAAGTTCGAGCGGGATACTTGACTTTGGTAAGTTTCGCAACAAAAAAAACGTTGCGAAACTTCAGTTTGTTTTTTAAAGAAATGTTTTATTAACATTTTTTTATTCTCTTTTGTAGGTCCCTCCCCTCCAGATTCGAACTTGGGTTTGGATAACGTGTAGGTTTCAAAGTATAACTTCGAAACTTTAGTTTAAATGGTGAGTTTCATGACAAATATCATGAAACTTAAATTTTTTTTTATTAGGACCGTTTACTAACGTTCCTTCTCTTTTTTGTAAGTTCGGGGATATCTGGAAAGCTAACTTAGGAAACATGAATCTCGTAAAACCATTGTTGAATATAAGCCATTACTTTACATTCAGGTATTGGATATGGCTTCTGAAATGGTAAGTTTCGTACGTTTTGTTACGAAACTTCTGTTTTATCTTTAAGAAACATTCTAACTGAATGGTTTTCTTTTTTTGTAGGTTATTGTAACAAGTTAATAGTTCTTTGGCTCCTTGCTTGGTGAGTTTCGAAGATTAACCTTCGAAACTTTTTGTTTTTTTTTGATGTTTGTTTTCTTTAACATTATTGTACTTAATTACACGTTATAATTGAATAATTAGATAAATTGTTAATAAAATTAGAATCAATAAATTGTTATTAAATTTGTATAAAATTACTCAAAATTGTTGCTTAATTATTACTCAATTGTCAGAAATTGTCTTAAAAATATTACATTTACACTCAATTGTCCAAAAATTGTCAAACAATTGTCACTCAATTGTCTAAAATTGCTAAAAATTTTCTAGCATTTTAAAGTTAAATTTTGGTAAAATGGTCCATTTTTCCAAAATTTGACAAAAAAATGCACAATTTACCAGAATTTTCCTGGTAAATTGTGCAACAATGGAAAGTTTTTATTTCAAATTTGCAATTTACGTATCATTACAAAAAATTCATCACAATTTACATAACATTGGCCTAATATTGCTAAAAATTCACCACAATTTGCATT